CCTCCCCCGTGCCTTCATTTTCAATATGTAGTGGCGGCAAGAGGAAGTATAACATGATTTTAGGGCTCGCATTTCAATTCTGCTGCATTTTTATGGGACAAGCAGAGACTGAGCGCCTGGAGTTATTAGGTTAGTATCTAAAATGGGTTCAGTGCTGTGGATCCTTTTGTTTAAAATGAATTAGACGCCCCCTCCCACCTTCCTCTCTCCTCCCTTGGGATGAGCGGATTGAGGCGAGGCCCCCAGAGACTAGTTGAAGGAATCCTGGTGCTCTGATTAGTTTTGTTCTCCTGCTTAATTGTGCAGCTTCCTTGCTCTCTGCGCTGTGAGCCACTGTGAGCTGGAGTGGCTCAGTGTTTTGTCCCCCTCCCCCCGTGCTTTAGGAATGAGATTATCACAATGTGGCCGTGTGAATCAATTTTCTCTCTGTGCTGATGAAAGTGTAATTCATTCTTAATCAAGCAGCCTTGCTGCCGCGGGCTCTGTGCCGGAATACATCTAGTTCCCCTCCCAGCACTTTGGGAAACGATCCCCCAAAAGGACTTTTAGAGGAGAGCGGGAGGAGAGGCGGCCTTGCAGCACCTCATGCGGTGGCTCTCCAGCAGGGGGCACTCTTGAGGGCGGCGTTGGAGGAGGTTTTGTAGCTGGGAGCCTTCTGGCGGCCGGCAGTGGAGCCCTTCTCACGGGGCCCTTCCAGGCTTGCTGTCTCCAGACCCGGCCCGTTTCTCATGAGCATCTCACGGGCTGCTGACATCCTGTCGCAGCAGTGAGCCAGAGTGGTTGAGTCTGCATGTTGCATGCCTGGGTGAGGCTGGGCACCAGGTCCTTCTCCAGGGTGGACAGCAGCCACCCTCCTCTGTCTTTTTGAGGAGACAGATGTGTCTCCTGAATCTGAACTTGTTTAGATTGGGTGGATATGTCCGCTTGTGTCATGCCACACGCCGTTTGGGGAGCGTCAGGAGGCCTAGTTCTGCCAAGTGGCTCCCTCTCCTGCAGTCGCCCTTCCACAGACTGGTGGCTGTCACAGGCCCCTGACAGCTAGATGGAGAAGCTGGCAGGAGGAGAGGGACTCTGCCAGGGTCGAGTCCCCGTGCTGGCCAGGAAGCAGGAGCCAAACCCTAACAAGTAGATCAGAGGCCTCATAAGATAAAAACAAAACCTTGTGGATCTGCGGCAGAGTAAAAAAAAAGGAAGTTTGTCTCCTCAGAATGGAATTGGATTAGTGACAGACTTGAACAGCCGGTTCAGTCAAGAGAGAACTTAATTCCTCCTGTATTATTCACACTGCTGATTCTAATCAAATGTGAAGAGACAGCTGGAAGAGAGCAGCAGGTCAGCACCACGCCTGGTGAGGAGTCTTCGTGTTCCTTTAGTCATCTTTAGGGAACCGGCGGGAGCTCTGGGCCGCAGCCGTCGAGCAGGCCTGCGCTCTCGGCCTTCCTAGAGGCGCTGGGCCCGGCCGCCAGAGTCCTGTGGTAGGTCCCGGTCTGGATGCGGTGGGAGTTCCGAAGGACAGTGTGCGGCAAACGTGGTCACCTCGTTCACCAGAGCTCTGTCCCCTTGTCCTCAGAAGGATCCAAAGGAGGTAGACCAGGCTTGGCAGCTCCCAGAGTGACACAGCCATTGTCCTCGAGGCCCTGGCTGTGTTAATATACTGCTCCAGGACCCGCTGCAGTTCTGAGACGTCTTCCTGCATGGCCCTGGGGATCCGCCCTGGCCGTGTGCATTTGAGGGATCCTCTCCCTCCTGGAGACCCTGCCCCCAGGCAGGCAAGGCCATATTGCTTCAGTTCTCAACTCACAGTGCGACATGGGACGAGGTGAGGGCATTGGTCAGACCGTCTCCAAGGCACCTCTGGCGCCGGCAAGCGGAAGTGTCGCTGGGCCGAGGGAGCCAGGCCAGTCGCTGAGCAGAAAGATGGGTCAAACACTGACATGGGCTGTGCACCTTAGGGTGTAAGAGGGTTGCAGGGAAACCAGGAAACTTGTAAGCTGACTTTCGTGAGTTTAAAAAGACGTCCCGCAGAGGCGGAGTTTATTTTATGAAGGGCTAGCTATGTGCTGTTTCCTGGGAGCCTCGCCTTATCTTTTATGACTACCTTCTGCCTCTAGCTGTGCTGTAAATGTGACTGTCAGCAAGCTTTCTGGAAGTCTCTGCCTGTTCTAGAAGCAGCAGGTGGTGCAGGGTCCCACAGGTGAGGGGAGCCTGCCCGCTGGAGCTGTGGGGCAGGAGTGCAGGTGGCAGAGCTCTTTGCAGTGCCCGAGGGCAGCTTCCTGAGCAGCTCTGTAGCCCGAGGGCCAATGGCTCCCCTGAGCTGCTACGGGAAGGAAAGAAGCCCAAGTCTCATCTCGCCGCCCGCCTTCCCCGCCTGCTCTCCAGAGTGAGCTGGTGCCCTCCCGCTGGGAGGAGGGCATCCTGGCGTCTGAGATAAATGGCACTGCTGAGGTGGAAGCAGGCAGAGGCCAGGGTGGCTGCTGGGAGGGCTCCAGCAGCAGGGAGTGGCCTTGTACAGTAAACCCTTCTGACTTCAGGGTTCCCTTGCGATTGGACCTGCCAGGAACGGTACAGAGGGTAAAGGGTGCGTGTGGCAACAGCCAGCCCTGCCTGCAGGGCCAGGTTGGTGGTGCCAGGAGGCTCCCAGGCCCTCTGGCAGCAGCCCTCGCTGATCAATGTAGCCAGGTCGTGGCCGCCTCCGTCTCGTGGGTCTGCCTTTCTCTCTAACCACGTCAGTGCCTTCTGGAAGCCTGGCACCCCCTCCTTTTGCCACGGCCACATGTCTGTGGGGCTTTTCTACTTCTGCGTGGTCAGCCCATCCAAATTCCTCTGTACTTTTCCGTGGCGCTGAGATAACTCCGGTTCCTGCGAGGTAAGCGCCGGCTCAGCCCCGCAGTGCAGCTGGGGTGGGGATCGGGAAGCGTCCCGCCCACCCGGAGAGCAGTTTGCATCCTAACAAGCACATGCTCTAGTAACGAGTCTGGTGCTGCCTGCACTGCCAAAACCCTCCCCTGGCACCTTGAGGGGACAGCCAGCACGCTCCTCGGGTAGAGGATCCAGGAATTCTTGGAGCCAACATTGTACAAATGGGCAGGAGCCTCTCAGAGGCCCCCACAGCCTGGGCACCCTGCCTGGGGAAGTGGCCAGGCCTCTCGGGGGCATTGCTTGCCCTGGCTCAGAAGCCACAGAGGCCAGTGCCACGTGTGACCCTGCCATCGCCCACACTCCTTCCTAATGGGCACTCTGCTCCCCCAGAATGAGAGGAGCCAGAGCTGGGGGGAGGGAAGAAACGTGACACTGCTATTAGTAATAACAGCTGCTGAGTTCCCACCATGCACCAGGCGTGGGCTGAGCGCTTCACACGCGTCCCCAGTGTCTCCGCATGTCACCCCGTGAGGAAGCAGCTGCTGTTACCCCGCTTCGTGGTGGGGCACTGAGGCCAGAGGGAGTAAGTGACCCACCTAGGGCCACACAGCTGGTCAGTGGCCCCAGACAGGCCTTCAGTCAGGCTGTCAGTGGTGCCCGTGTCTGACTCGAAGTGGCTGTGGTCAGGGCCCTGTCCCCTGTCCTCTGAGAAGCTGGCCCAAGGTCTTCTCACAAGTGTGAGAGAAATGTGAGGAGAGACATCGGGTTTCACACCTTTAGATTTAAGCCCTCTCCCAAGAGGATTTCTGTCTCTATAGTTCTGTGGCAGCTGCAGCTTTCCTCTTTCTTCCCCAGTCAGCATCCTGGTCCCCATTATCTCAGGGCACAAAACTCCTGGCACTTGTCCTCCGATTGCATTTAGGAAGAAACCCCTCCAAACGCAGGCCCTTCTAGATGGACCTGGCTCAGCGAAGGAGCGCGCTCTGCACGCCGTCGAACCGGGCTTTCCGGCAGGCTTCTGAGAGCTCAGACGCCTCCCTACATTCGGCTTGTTAGTCAGGAACTTCAAGGCCAAAAGATTTGGCAGGATGTAAAGTGTTGCTCAAGCTGTCTCGCTCTGAGCACACTAATGCCGCCTGTCTTTTGATGGTGAAGTGGTCGGGGTGGAATCTCCCCTTTGCGGAGCCGCGGACGGCACTGAGGACTTTTCACGTTTAGAGACTGCCAGAGCTTGAGAGGATGGGCCAGACCATCTAGCCCATCCCATGCTTACCTCCTGAGAAGAGGGCTCAGAGAGGTCAAGAGTGTCCACTAAGGCCACACAGCAAGCCTCCCTGCCCCCTGGCTCTCCTCCAGGAAGGCCCAGAGCTAGACATGGAACACAGTCTCGCCCAGGGTGTTGGTCTCAGGAGTAGAGCAGGGAGCAGGGCAATGGGAGAGCGCCTGTGCCAGAAGCTTCTGTTCTGGAAGATGCTGGGAAGTGGCCTATGGAATCAGAGGCTTAGGAGGTTGCAATCGCCGGGCAGAGCAGGGCAACACCCCTCTCCCATGCCTGCACCCAGCCCTGCTTGGAAAGCCTGTTGCCACCCAGCTCGTGGACAGAAACCCTTTCTTAGCTGTTGGGTCATGGGCTAGTCTGTTTGGGGCCATCTGGGGAACCAGGAGTAGATGGGACAAGCTCGTCCTCATCTGACACAGGCCTGCCTTGCCCGAGTTCATGTCACCTTGCTCAGACATGACCCCAGGGCATGAGGACCAAGATGCTTACCCTGCCAGGACCAGTGTCACCACAGACAGCACACCACTGGGGCAGCTCAGAGACTTTTGTAGATGGGACTGTGAGACTCTATTAAAATACGCAGGGATCCCCATCCTATGTGAAAAGGTGACATTGATGACGTGTTGCTGCTGACTTGTCTGTCCACCAGCCTTCCCTCCTGGCATGTCCTCATTTGTCACCTCCTAATTTGATTTCCTGGGCAAATCTGGAAATGTATGTGGGATTGACTGCCAACTTCGTGAACATCTGAACAGTCTTCCCTTCCACTCTCAACCGATGGGACCCAAGTGATAGAGCAGGGGACCCAAGTGATAGAGCAGAAATCCAGTCCCCTCTCAGCTTCTTCTCTGCTCTCTTACAGCTCACCTTGCAGAGTGCCAAGTCCCGAGTGGCCTTCTTTGAAGAGCTCTAGCAGGTGACCCAGCCACCCCAGGAGCTGCCACTTCTGCTGCTCCCAGCACCAGCGGGATGGGCCGGACACCGTGGGAACCATCTGTGGGGGGCTGGCTGTGGGCTTCCCTGGGAGCTCCAGAACTTTCCCCAGCTGAGTGGACAGTCCAGCCTCCTTTATGTGCAATTGCCTTGAACTATGACCCTGCAGAGCTTTCTGTCATGGTGTTCTAGTTCTCCTGACCCGAGTCTCTCTGTCTTCCTTTGTCCGATGTGGGGTCCCAAACAAACCTTGATCCAAGGCGTGCAGCATGTGTCTTCCTGTCCAGTGCTGGCCTCCACGGCTCGTCTGGGAAGTGTGTAGGGGTGAAGCGCAGGGGCTCTGGGGGCCAGGAGGCTGGTGGCACCACCCTTACTTCCCCCAGGGTTCCAAAACGTCCATCCCCTCCATGGCTGAGGACCTGGCATGCAGCAAAGAAGCATAGCCCGGCTGAGCCCAGGCCCGGAGCAGCCTGCCGGCTGCTCGTGGTCGGGGAGCTAACCCGCAGCTCCTGGCGAGTAGAGTGCTGGGTCCCCGCCAGGCACCCCTCAGGCTGCGCTCTGGCTGCCAGCTGGAGGGGACTAGGTAGGGCAGCTGGGCCTGGGAGGGCTTTTAGGCAGAAGCTGTGAGGGAGGGCCGGCTGCCAGCCCAGGGCCCAGGAAGCGAGTGCTGCCCCTAGGTACAGCGACTCGCCCCTCCCCCGCCACCCACACCTGGGGCTGAGAGGCAGGCGGGGGCCACAGGGGTCTTTCTCATGCCTGCGGGGGCTGGGCACTCCCTGGGTCGTGCTGTCGTCAGAACCTGGCAACCCAGCCCTGACCTCTGAGGCCCCACAGGTACTTCTCTCTGGCCCAGACACCGAGCACCACGGGCCATGTCTGTCACTGATCTGTATCAGCCACCCGCCTGGCCATGTGCCAGCAAGCCCTTCCCAACCCACTGCCATGTCTGGGCCTCATCCCTCCGGGGCCTAGTGGGGTCCCTTTGTGCCCCTCCCAGCACGAGCCTGATGCAGCTGTCCACTCACTCGGTGCTCGCACGGGCTGGCACACGACTCCCTCCGTGCCAGGCAGCAGCGGGTCACAGAACCACCCTGGGGACTCCCTCCTTGCTCCGGAGCCACCTTCTTGCCCTTCCTTTTCCCCACGGCTGGTGATGCTGCTCTGGCCACCTGGAGCCCTTTACATCCTTCTAGGCAGGCCATCGTGCACAGCGGGTGCTACGTCTTAACTCGGTGAGAAGACGCTCATTAGCCGAAGACGGATGAGGGCTGGACAGTTCCTGAGGACAGCGGTGGTCGCTGGCAGTTCTGGCTGGCTTTGGAAAACTGAGAAGCTCATAGAGATCCTGACTTTTTCCTGCTGTCAGGCTGACCCAGCAGGGTCCTGGGCTGGCTTCTGCCTTCTCAGGCCACCTTGCCCTGAGGAAGCCAGCCCTGTGTGTCACCCCAGCCCCTGAGGGCATGCAGGGTGGGACTCTACATCTGAAACCTGAGTGGATGGCTGGGGCTGGGAGACTGTCCTGTATCTTCCTGGCAGGGAGGTGCCCTCAGGAGCCGGAGCCTGAGGCGTTTGTGCAGTGAGGTCTGGCTCGTGTGTGGCTCTGTCTCCTTATGCCGAAAGCCCATCCCTGAGTGTCCCAGTTACTTTCCTCCTGATCTGTAAATGTATTCTTTAACTATGGCTGCAGGGCTTAGAAGCATGATGGTGGTTTATAGAAATGATGTCAGACTTCGTTTTCTTATTCCTTAACTGCTGTGTGTACTTCCGAAGTCCAGAAATGCCAGGCCCTGTGGCCTCAAGGGAGCTGGCTGGCGCCTGAGCTGTGGCAGGAGCACGGGGCCTGGGGGAGCAGGAAGGGGCTGCGGGGGGCCAGCAAGGCCTGTCAGCCAGCGGCTCTCGTCCCCGTGAAGCAAGAGCTAGTGGCACTTCCCTGCAGACGATGAGAGGACCGTGGCCTCAGGAAGGTCTTGAGCCCCAGTAGCAGGAGAAAAAATGAAAAATTTGCTTGGTTTTTCAGAGACTTGTGCCTGTGGCTGAGGTGACTATGTCCTTTTTAAGTGAACGTTTTTAGAGCTCGGGAGCTTGTCACATCAGGAAGCTGTGAAGACCATTGGGAGCAGCACCCTGGCCACAGTTTTTCATTACGAGCTTCTGAGAGTTCTTGAGCAGAGGTACTGCCACCCTGAAACGGTCGGGGAAGGCACTGCCCAGCTTGTGACACTCCGTGGGGCTGTGCTGTTGGCCCGTGGCTGTTGGGGACAGACCACCTCGCTTGTCTGGACTGAGGACCCATCTTAGCCCCGGTAGCGCCCTGGCCTGTGGCATTGACTGGCCCGCCAGGCCCTGCTAGACAACACCCCTCGGCATTACATAACTCTTCTTGAGTGACGGTGGCTTGTAATCTTGGGGACAGGTTTCTCTGTCTCCCTTTCTTTTCTTTTTCAAAAGTCCAGAGGCTGACAACCGGGAGGGTGACTAAGTGTTCCTTGCTGAAAGGTTGGGGCCCCGCCGCCCCTCCCAGGCTGCGTTGGCGGGAGACAGCCCTTCCCAGTCGCCTGGGGCCACGGCGGCCCTCCTGGGCTTTCTTTCAGGAAGCTCCATCCGTTTTCAAAGCTGCCAGAGATGTCAAAGGCCCTTCGTCCTGTGGGGCCTGAGTCCCACCTCCTGTCAGGGCCAAACCGTGGTGGACCTCTCTTTTCTACCCTGGGGGACGATTGTAATTTAAATGAGCATTTTAATAAAAATTCTAAGCTGGAAAGAGTTGGTCTCGGGCTTCCTCAGTGCGCTTGTCCCTCAGGACGTGGAGGCGGCGAGACGGGCTGGTGTGGGGCCAGCTCCCGTGGTTCTGTGAGGAAACAGGCCCTCGGCCCTCCCTGACCGCCCGCGCCCTCTACCGCAGCCCCTTGTGTTGGTGGCAAAAGGACGCTTCCTTCCGTGCTGATGATGGCACCCCTAGCGACACCTGCACCTGGTAACCCCCTTCCCCTTCCTGTGGGGCCTTTGGGGGTCCTGGCGGTGGTGAGGGCCCTCCATGGGGTCCCAGTGCCTCCATTTCCCCTCTCCACCTGGTTCCAGACCAGAAAACTAGGGTGCTGGACTGGGTGGCCCCTCTAGGCACTTCTGCTTCCGAGGGTCCCCATTCCGGGCTCTGGAGGGTGGGGACGTGCAGGGTCCCTGGGCTGGGTGCTGTTGGCAGAGGCACTGAGGCAGAGCTACTGTCACGGGCCTACACGACATTGCACTTGAAGTTGGAAACCATTACTCCAGAGCTTATGTTTCTTGTGTTTTGTTTCTATTTTTTTAATCAATAAATCTCCTTTATTATGACCAAAAACTACTATAGGATAACTCTGTCCCAAATCACTGCAGCCTAAAATCAGAGATTGAGGTGGCACCACGTGGTCATCAGGATTTGTAAGAGACCTGCCTGCCACACTTGTCAGAATACACTTCAGGTGTCTGTTGTACAAGCCAATAGGGAAGATCGCCCATCAGAATACACAAAAATTTCCCAAAATGTTTGAGTTAAACAACTAGTTTTTTATATATTTTGGAAAGCTGTTTGAAGTTGATAAATTAGAGAATTTTGAAAGTTTTCACATTTTTATTAGCTTTGAATATATAGAATCAGTAACCAGATTTTTATTAGATAAATAATATGAAACCTGTTACCTTCTCAAATGGAGATTGTTATTTTTAGTGGTTGGAAGCAGTTTGATTTCCTATGTAGTCTAAGCCAGAGAAAGCACTTCGAAAATATTGGTCATTTTAAGCTGTCCAGACAATATTTTTACCTAACCTTTTTGTAAAAGACAACCTCAAACACCAAAAGACAGTGACATGCTCACACTGAGATCCGAGGTCCCCATGAAGTAGGGTTAGAATTAATAATATCGCCTGGCATTTGATATTGAGATCAGCTGAGTTCTTTGCTGGGTTTTGTTGCTTTTTTTTTTTTTTTAAAGTTTGTGGTGACCCTGCTGTGAATGCCAAGCTGTTGGCTGACCCTCGGTGCTTAATTGTGGCATTTGCAGCTGGTCCCACTGGATCCCTGAGCGGATCATTCTGGCCTGGCTGCATTTGGTCTGCGGCCGAGTGGGGAGTGCCTGGCAGCTGTTCCCCAGGGCCACCCCCCCCCCCCAGCAGCCTTCGCCTGGAGGAGCGGATGAGGAGCCACCCACGTGTACTGAAGAGTTGGCAGCAGGACTCTGGGGGGAAAGGTATTGTGAGAAGATTGCTGCGACTGTGTCTAATCCAATTTCTTGCCCGTCTGGGGAAGAGAAAGTCAAGCCATCCGAGTGTTCTCCGTCTCCCTCTCAGACAGCCCGGCCAGGAGAGGCCCAGGGCTCCCCCCTCCCCTCCTGGGCCTGCGGGGCTCCCTGGCAGCCTGTCATCACTGCATTACCGCAGGATCCTGCGGCGGGCGCAGTCCCAGCTCTGGCTGGGAGACCGTGGCTCCTTCCAGGGAGATAGCTCGGGACCTCTGCGGTGACAGGGACAGCTGGGAAGGGGGTAACCACAGGCCGTTTATCGCCATGGCAAGGACTCGAGCTGACTCAGAGAGGAACCCCCAGCGTGTCCCCTCCCGGTTTCCACTTGATGCCCATTTCTCTCCAGAGTGGTGGCCCCAGAATAGCATGTTGTCTCTGAGCCGAAATCAGACATCTTAGGAGCTCGGCGGTGGGAGCAACAAGAGCCACCTCGCCCTCCGCTGAACCGAGCACTTGCTCTGGGCGGAGTGCCTGGTGTCCCCAACCCCTCCCCCTACCAGACCTCCTGCCCCCTCTGTAAGGTCACTGGGTGAGGGGACATTGCCAAAATAACAAGGAGAGTGGGAGACAGATACGCTCAGGTTTCTAAGAACCTGGACATACAGCAATGCTGGTGTAACTTACAAGTAACAGACAAACGGGAAATTTCTTTACAACCTGGGCAAACAGCGGAGCCCTCCCTGACACAGAGCTCAGACAAACCCGGTTCAAAGCCCTGCTCCGCCACTGACCGGCCACGAAAGCCCAGGCAATTGCCTAGCTTTGGGGTGCTGCAGTTGCTTCATCTGTAAAATGGGAATTTTATAGGGTGTCATGAGGATTACTAAAGCCTGGAAAGCACCTTTCCTAGAAGTGTGTCACCACTCGGGGTGGATGGCTCTTTTTCTGACTATTTCCTTTGGGGACGGGGCAGGAAGGAACAGAGAAAAGAACAATGATGACCTAGAGCATGTCACAGCTCAGAAGGACCAGGCCTTCCCCACGTGGGCCCCCCTCACCTCCACCTGCACCCCGAGCTTAATGAACCTGCATCTGGGCTGTTTGTGTCTCAGTGTTTGCCCAGTGCCAGCTGCAAAGCCTAGGAGATGATAGATAACCCCGGCCTGGAGCTGCCTGGGAAGGATGTTCTTGTTTTGTCACATTAATACCCGAGGCTCGGGTCAATAATTTACTGGAGGCTCAGGGTGGGAGAGAACTGGGTGGGCCACACTGGGTTCTGCACTCAGGGCTCTTCCTTGACCCTGTGGGCACCTACCTGGGCTCCAAGAACCCAACTGCAGGTGCCCGGGAGGCACAGCAGTGACCTAATTTTCTCTCATCAGGCACAAGGGAGAAGTCCCCATGGAGCCTTGCCCATTTCCAATATAAATAATGTAATTCTCCCGCCTGCCCGCCCCTGCGGCTTGGGAGGAAGGGGCAGCCTTTGATCTGGAGGAATTAAGTCAGTAAACAAAGGAAAGGAGGCTGCTGAGGTGTCCCGGGCAGGCACCTGCTGTGCCGTTTACCCTGTGAGAGAGGAGTTAAATTCTGACGAATGGAATGGACGGATGGAGACAGTCCAGCCTCATGCCCGGCTTCCCCCGGGTCTCCCTTAAATCTCCCTTTATGCCCAGCTGACCCCGGGCAGTGCCTCCCGGGACCCCTGCCACACACCTGCCACAGCCTAGCGTGCGTGGCATCTCCTCCCTCGCCAGCAGTGGCCCAGCTCGGGCCCTACGTATTCCGAGGGAGACACGTGAGTGGTCTGGGGCCAGCAGCTTGGCCCGGGAGCTGGGGGCTGCGGAGGAGCTCCGCTCTGGGAGGGAGGGCCATGCAGGCAGACCCCTGGGACCGTCTGTCCCAGCAGAGGGCAGCTCAGGCATCCAGCTGGCCGTGGGCTCTGGTCCCTCCAGCTCTCTGCTTCCTGCTGTGTGGCCTTGAGTAAGTCCCTTTGGCTCTCTGGGCTTTCATGCCTCGGCTGTAGGAGGCCAGGTTTGGACCAGAGGAACTCTGAGGTCCCTTAGGTCCCAGTGCGACAGATTGGCCCCTGTCAAAGCAGCTTCACCTTCAGGGAAGCCAAAAGCGGAGTGATCCCAGGATCCCACTGGGGCAGCCACGGCCACGGCCACGGCCAGGAGCTGGGCTGGAAGCAGGTGCTTTGCAGGGACAGCCAGCCTGGCCTGTGTTAGGGGTCCCACCTCTCCCCTCCTTTCTCCCCCAGGCTCCTCTGGCACAAATTTGGGAGGGGCTGTTGTGCTGCCAGCGCTGCCGGGCAGGGGATGGCCAGGCCCAGCTCCTGTCGCCTCAGGTAGAGGCTGGGGGTGGCATGAGCCGCAGCATCGCCAGGCCTGCTGTGGCAGTTGCTGTGCCCTGAAACCCATGGGGGCCCTCCCTTCCTTGCCCACGCCTGCACCCTTCCCCAGCCCTGCCCCCAGGCTCGCTGAGTCCCTGAGTTCCCCAGGCTGAATCTATTAAGTCCTTCATATTAACCAGCAAAGGGGGAAACAGCCCTCTTTCATCTTAACTGGAGTGAATTTGCATTAACACCTGGGGAGTTCTGTTTGCCTTGAGAAAGCACATTGCTATTCTGAGCTGCACACGCTGTGGAGTTAGTCGCAGTATCCTGTTCTTTTATTAATACGGCTTTTCTCTCCTCCCTCCTCTTTTCCCAAGGAAAGGGGAGAGCGGCTGGGGATGCCAGGGCTCCCCATGCCACGTGGGAAGGTCCCCAGAAGTGCCAAGAAGGGGGAGCAGGGAGCAGCTCCCAGGTGGAGCGGGTGTCTCCCCGGGAAGGTGGTTTGCGAGGCTGCAGGGGCAGCCCAGACCCAGGGTCCCCTCCCTCACCCACTCCCTGCTGTGGCCAGTCCATGCTGGGCAGTGGCTGGGGGGTCAGCCAGGCAGGGTTCAGGGACACGAGCCCACCGTGAGGAGCTCCTTAGGCAAGGAGGGAGGGGACCGGGGATGCCAGGGGGCCGGGAGCTCAGGGGTGGCGGGTGACGGGGCTTCCTGATTCACTGGCTGCTTTGGACTTTCTGGGATCTTCCGGCAACAGGACTGGCACCAGCCACTCTGATGTCCCGTCTAGGCAGGAGCCATCTACGTGACTTGGGGTGCTCGAATGTGCCCAGGAGATGTTGAGTCTGGGTGTGTGTTGGGCAAACCTTGGTTTTCAGGTCTCAGACCTGGAGGTGGAGGTTCTAGAAAGAACCAGACCTGGAGTGGGTTAGAGCCCCTCTCCACCTCGCCCCACCTCCCGCCTCCTGACCTTCGAGATGGGGAAGGGGAGGAAGGCACAGCCGGCAGGAGGGGAGCAGGACAGAGAAGGGGTCCCCCGAGGACTGGAGGGGCCGTCGGCTCCCAGCACTGCTCAGTTAAGGGTCCGGCACTCCGACCGCAGGGTCGTGGGTCGCACAGATCACAGAGACCCGGGGCTGGCCAGCGCCTGCTGCAGCGAGAGTTTATTAAACGCGGCTGCCGCTGCGTGGTTATTGCAGTTCCCTGTTAGCTTGT